TGAGGAGCTTGACGAATCAGTCTATAGAGATGGCATTAATAGACTGGAACACCGCTATGAGAAATGTATCAGCCTTGGAGGAGATTATGTTGAGAAATAAAAAAAAAAAATTTTTAAAAACCTTGTTTTTCTTGGTCAGGCCGGAAACTTATCAATCCACCCTCGTATGTATGCGTATATCCAACGTGAGTACGTATTTCCAACGGTGACCCACGTAGAAAACGAAAAAGGAAAATTTACAGTGATATTTACAATTTATCGCACTAGCCCGCTGCTTCGTAAGCAAAAATATTAAAAATCACAATTCGGACCCGAATCTGTAAAAATAAAATCGCAGCAGATATACATTTATTAGGTAGTTTAGTTGATATTACTAATTAAATTGTAACAATTAAGAAAGTTGAAATAATTTAAAAACAAAACATGTCAAAATTGAGATTATTACAAGTTACTTAATAAATTCTACTATTTCTACGTCAAAAAGTTCGAGTGGTCGAGTGTAAAATTCTATGCTTTTAGCTGCATGTCATTCAATTAAAACGAAGATTTTGTACGGGTGCGAAACATAGACGGTGGGCGTGGCGGAAAAGAAAAGGTTAGAAGCGTTCGAAATGTGGTGTTACCGGTGAATGCTGAGGATGATACCGTTGATAGAGAAGGTTGGAAATGAAGAGGTATTATAAAGAATAGGAGAAGGAAGTCAATAAGAAATAGGCGAGATAGGTTAGTAGGACACCTTCTCAGGCATAAAGGGCTAATCATACACATATTAGAGGCAGTAACAGGAGTTAGGAGGAGTAAAGGTAGAACTAGATGTTCTAGTTTTAGGGAAATGCGAAGATTAGCTCAGGATAGGAAAGAGTGGAGGTACGTGTCCAACCAGTCTTAGGACTGACGACCTTGTGATGATGATGATTTGAGATAGTTCGAGAGCTTTCATTCTTTTCGTTGGCATCTAATTTGAAAACACAAACTTTTATATTATTGTATTTACAAGTACGTACATCTACATGCCTGTGAGTAGTAGGCTTTAAATCACCTTTAATATCTTACGTTACAAAATCATACAATATGATATCACGGAAAAGCACAAGTTTTTCTAAAAATCAAATTTTAATTTTCGCTATGTCCGGAAAGCGTTCAAGAACTTTTTTGACTTTCTTACAACAACAACGTCTTCGCCTTCGTCTTTTCATTTGTATAAATACATTCTTTTAGAAGAATTGCACCATAATTTATCTATTTGCACGATTAAATATTTTTCACACCCCTTCAAGGGATAGTTGTAATTGTAATTCTTGCATCATTCCTCAAACTTTTGAAAACAGTAAAAGTATTACCACGCAAGCAAGCGCAAGAATGACGAATTAAAGTATTGTAAAACCCGTTAAAATCCCGCAAAGTTCATTTGTTTTGTATGTTGTTTTTTGTTTAGGTGTAGATGAGCGTACACACCACCGTACAAGTGGTATCCTTGCTGATAATACGTCGCTCCAGACAAACATGCAACGCCATTAATTCCTATCTTTTCACATTTGTCACACACGTGTAAAATGCATTAAACGCATCACGCAAACCAACACAATTTGTTGCTTTTGATTAAAAAAAAAAACAATCCATATTCTATATAAGTACATACAAAGGTAATGGGGTACTCATAGTACGCATGTATGTAGATAGTGCACACATATTTTCTGATATCATGAATGATTTTTAACCAGTAGCAAAAGTCAAAATTGTATTATCTTCTAGATGATTAATATGATTTATCTACGTATAATAAATATTATTGTTACTATACAAAAACATTCGCACTGTTTATGTATGTACCTAGTACTTAATCAATTATTACAAATTAGAAGAAAATTGGTAAGTGTATGCTTGGAGCAAAAGGCTCTTGGTGGGTGCAAAATATGGATACTGGGGACGACGAAAAAAAAAAAAAAAATAAAAGATGTGGTGTTATAGGCGGATGACGGTTAGAAAAGGTCAGAACCCCAGACAAAAATTTTCTGTCTCTCCAGTCTCTCAGAGTCTTTCAGCGTCTCTCATAGTCTTTCAGTTATTGTCTAGGTGTTTTTATGGATCTCTCACAGTCTCTGTATGAGAGACTCGAAAGACAAAATTGTTAATTCAGCGATTCGAGTCTCTCACAGAGAGACTGATTGAATAAAACTGAAAAATTGAGACTCCAGCGACACCAGAGAGACTCGATGAAAGACGGAGACTCGAGTCTCGTTTTCAGAGACTCTGAGAGACTGAACATTTTTATCTCGGGAAACAATGAGGTAGTAGAAACAATAGGATAATAAAGGAAAGAAGTCAACAAGAGTGATAGAATTGTGCACTTTTTTGAGACATGAAAAGGGCTAATTATGTAGATATATATTTGTAGCAGAAACAGGAGTAAAGAGGGGACAGAGCAAGGCGCAGTAGTTAATAGTGTCTGAGGTATACCTAGAGTGGAAACACGTTTTTGAAGCACGGATTTTTCACAGCCTCATCAATAACTCAAAGTTCCTCATTACTAGCCCGTTTAAACAATTGATTAATTGTAAGATCTACCATTTTAATTATTCTTTATTTGAAATATAGTTAGTTACACACGATTAAAATGCCCAAAAAGTAAAAAAAATAAAAATTCAAAAAATGAAAGTGAATCCTCAAAAAGGCCTATATCTATGTTTGTGAGATTGATGTTATTACTCAAATCTTACATCATTTGCGTAGTTTTTAGAGGAAGAATTTCAAAAACGAATAAACTACACGTAGTGCCTCAAAAATCTTCCAATACATCCTTCAGCTTAAGTGGAATTAGTAATATGTGCGCACATAAAACGTAAATAGTTTTTTATGTTTATAGACACTTGTGTATGCTACTTTTTAAGTACTTAAGTTTTATCATTTGTGAACGTTCATGATTTCAATAGGTGAACGGATGTAATTTCCTTTTTAATGAAAAGTGTATTTTCTGATGGGTTACAGGTGTAGCTGAATAGATTCTTCACTTTACTTCATACTGATAATGAAATAAAATACTTAATATTAAGTTTATGAGAAACACACTTATATTAGCTGTTGATATCCTTAGACAAAAATTTTCAGTCTCTCAAAGTATTTCAGCGTCTCTCACAGTCGTTCACAGTCTCTCAGTTATTGCCTAGGCGTTTTTATGGATCTCTCACAATCTCTGTATGAGAGACTCGAACGATAAAATTGTTAATTCAGAGATTCGAGTCTCTCGCTCGTAGATTGTCGTTCTCCGCTTATTTATAATGAACAAACATGAAATTTTCGTTTAATTATTTAGCGAATACACAATACACGCAGTTAATTACAATCACTTAAACAGGTTGTGTTGTTACGTTTTTATTAAAATATGAATTATCACAAAACATCTGCAGTACATTTGTTTATTTTGTCTCGATAAAATCAATCAACGCATTTTACTAACGATTATTACGTTTTAGATATTTTTTTTTAGCAATTATTAATCCGTTGCATGTTGGATTCTTCCGTAGCAGAATCATGAGTGCTATATGTGAAATTTTAGGAAAAACCCTAAAGAAATTTGCAATAATAAATCCCTTTTGGTCCCTATGTAAATGTTATCTATATAAAGTCTCTAGACACTTAGTCTTGTTTGGAAATAAATAAAACATTAAATCCCAAAATCTCACATAAAACCGTTTAAAAAACCTGAACGTGTTATGACACTCAAAAGAAGTCATCCCCAATTAGGGACCAAGTTTATCCAAATAAATTTACATGCTTATTGTAGAGGTAAGCTCTTTTGAAATATTTTGAAATTGCGAATGAAAACAGACAATTTTAAACTGTCAAAGGGGCTCCAG